ATAAATAAGGTTGAGTATTATGTAATCAATTATCAAATGATCTTTTTTCTAGTGAATAATACATCGATGTAGGCTTTTGGTTCGTGGATATTAGTGCAATGCACTAAGGTGGGTATGTTATATCGAACCACGTTTTATCTTTGTGTCATATTTTTATTGTTTTCTTATTTTTGAATTCTTATTTTCCAACAAGTATTATTCGTATTAATTATCTACTGCGCAAAACCAACAAGTGGTAACAAAACTATATTCCAATAAGTGATATCATAGTTATGTTCCAACAAGATCTGCATTTACTTTTTTCAAGTTTTATGTTGATCATAGATAGATCACCAAGATCATATTCCAAAAGAATAACAATCAAGGATACGTTATACGTATTGATAAATCTTGGTTTCATGCCAGTAAGAAAATATATAATTCAATACGTGTGGGATATATGGCTTGCTTTTTATTTGCATAAGTTTTTACTTGCTTTTTTATTTGCATAAAGAAGGCAATAATCGAAATTTTGGGCTAGTTATCGATAAGTAGAGTTGTGTATGACTCGGGATTAAAAACTTATTTCGGTGCATTTTCTTAGTCACCTAAACAATAAAAACTTTTCAAAAATATGTCAAAAACAAGTGAAAATGAACAAAAAAAATTGAGAAAGCGTACTGAAAATCTCGAGACACCTCGAAACGAAATTTTGATAAAAATATGCTAAAATCCCTCAAAATATTATGAATTATCTCAAAGCATTAAAATTTTAATTTAATTATTGATTTATTTCTAAAAAATAAAAATATTTTAGCCATTTCAACTGTTTTGAAACAGAATATTTTGATCTTTCCATACGACATCAATAAATAGTATAACTTGTTGCAATTAATATCGTAGGATTTGGCAAAACCAATTAGGTTGTTCACTCTAATGGTTGGTTCTCTCCACTTACTTAATTCATTATATCTTGATTCTAATTAAATTTTTATATCCGTTGCTCCAAAATTTATTGTTATCGATGGAGGGAACTCAATCGATAGACAATTTTTTGGCGATTGTTAGTGATGGATTCATGCATTGTTTCAAAGCTTCCTTGGATGAAATTTAAAGTAATAAACACACAGAATCGTGAATTAATACGATAATTCAATTATTAATCCAATCAAAGAGTTTTCAGTTACAGATTGAATTAACATCCTTGATTACACTAGTAACTAATTCTTAAAACTAATTTAACACTACTCCTAAAAATGTTTAGATCGTGGGTCTTGTGGAGGTTTGAATATTTGTTTTAACTTCCTCGTTCTCTATCTTTTATAACCATTATCTTCGACGATTTTATCTTACTCGACGGTTATTTGACTTGTAACTCCCAAACAATTATTCCCTTTTAAGGCTACGACCGACCATCTTCCTCCTTTTCTTAGATCCTGCCATGTGACATTTCTTTAATGTTTTTCAATTTTCCAGATATTAGTGCATCAAATATTCTTATAATTTTATATTTTAGGCCAAAACAATATTCATTTCTTAATATAATCCGAAATATCAAATTTATTTATAATTTATAGAATATTTTACTCATGAAATTAGTGGATAGCCTAATGGTCACTGCCCTAGCTATTGGACCCGTAGGTTACAGATTTGAATCTTATTGTTTTCATCTCCGTAATATATATATATATATAATAGTTGATGCACACGTGCGTTGCACGTGAATTATGTTAAGTTATATTTTTATTTTTATTGAGTTTTTACAAGTTAAATCAATATAACATTCTTAGGTGTAAGATATCTCTCTTATTAAAACTGTGATTTTATCCGATTAATAACATGCTAAGTTGTACAAATTAAATTAACCCACCGTATCAAGTCCTCTGTTTTTTAGAAGAAAAGAAGTTGCTTTGAGAAGTAAAATTCCTCACAAAAATTCAATCTATTTAATGGTTCATTACATAATTCAAATCTAACTTTAGCTTCGATAATTGAAGAAATACAATTGCACATGGATTACTTGTATGAAAACATGCTTCAGTCCTTCTTTTTATACACTAACATGCTTGAATTTAGCATCATGTAAGATAGGTATCAAACTTTAACATAGTACAACCCGATTTCGACCTCTTGAGGAACAGGAGATGCATAGTATTCCACAGAACCATGTTTATAGGGCAAGATCTTCCATTACTATGAAAAGACAACCACCAAAAGAAAAAAGGTAACAAAATCTATTAATCAAAGTCCGGAAAAACCTTTCATGGCATTGCCTATTTAAATTAGAATTATATTTAGAAGTACTTAATAAGTTNTTGCCTATTTAAATTAGAATTATATTTACAAGTACTTAATAAGTGGCCTGCACTTTGGGCATCTCATTTCGCAATTGCCAGCAAATCTCAAACATTTCTTTCAAACTATACATTTGACAAAAATTTTCAAATTCAATCAATTAATTCAAACTTATATGATCTGAAATTGAATTGAAATTACAAAAATGGTTTTACCTATGTACAGAAGAAGTGGTGTTGGGTTCAAAGCAAATCTCCAAACAAATTTGTCAGACGTAAGACCGAATTGAAAACAGGGAAAGCTTGTTTGTGTTGGTAAAGAAAAAAAGCCTCTATTAATGCTAAGTATCTGTAACATACCTCAACTTTGACAAACTTGTTGAAGTAGTAGTTGATTCTATGCTTCCCAAACAAATCTGGTGAATGACAGAGAGAGAGAGAGAGAGAGAGAGAGAGAGAGAGAGAGAGAGAGAGAGAGAGAGAGAGAGAGGATTAATATTTCAATAGATGGACTTGAAACAAAGTTCAATTGGTTATTTAATCCTTATATTCTTACAAGGGATGTAGTGTTGTATCAAGTGAAACGGAAAAATTTTCGTTGTAAATTTTAGCACATAAACAAGAAATCATTGTAAACTGCATTCTAAAGTCAAAACATGTACTACCATTTATTCAAGTAAATTTGTTGGAATTTGGACAAGGTTTTGATCATTTCACCTCACAAATCGGATTAGCAATAAGGTTCACGAGAAAATGAACATATGGAGTAACATATACAAGAAAGCAACCACATAAAACATAATGGAAAGTGAAATCCCAGAAAGATGCACGTAGTCTTTGTGAATCCTTGACGATGACAAATTTAATTAATTTGAGACAACTCATATCACTGAGTAACCATCAGATACTAACTTCTGTATCTAAACATATTCAATATCACCAAAAAAAGAAAAAACTACTTGATGTATTGCTCATATAATACCCTTAAGGTAACATGGTGACTTTGACCTTCTCAACTACAAGGAAAGGCTTGAGTTATATTAACATTTTGGGGCCATGGTTTCATCGGTCGCATACAATTTACGATATCTACAACCTAAGGAAAGATTATAATCATAAATACATACGAAAACCATGTTCATACTTCATCCTAACATAATGTCTAGTTTTCAAAAGATCACTTCAATAAAAGAATATTTTTTTCTTCATTATAACAACCATCACTACCAGGATTTGTCAAAATTAATATTAATAAAAGAAAAGTATCTGAAACCCACAAGCATAAGCTCAAAAAAAAATTTGTAGGCATATTGTAGGTTTTTTTTTTCTTTTTTGGGGGATGCAGTACACCTGAGCTTTATCAAACTAACTAGAGATGATAAATTGCATGTAAATACCAGTAAGAATATAGACCTAACTTATTTTCTTTAGTGCAAAAAAACATTTTCTTGAAATCATGAAACATGAAATAATCAAGATTTCTAGATTGAAATTAAACTGGATTCAAGAACTCTATCCTTCCGGAATGCCTTTTGCTGGCATTGTATGAAGAATGGCATGTACCCATTCCAAGAAGAAAATTAAATTAATGAAACCGCTATTGAAAATTGAAACCTATTTTTTTGAGTCAGGAAACAACTACATACCATAACTTCATTTCTGATTACATAAAGGCTAAAGCCTTGAGATATATGTGGTGTAGAATATTTTCCTTCCTCTAGCTAACTTGCCATTGCTGCAACTTTGGTAATCAAAGTTTTTCCACTATTTGTGGGTGTGGAAATCACGTGACGAACCTCTCAAAAAGGTCTTGAATAGCCAATTTCTACACAATACGGATTAAAATCATCGATGCAAAAGAGATAAAAGAATTTTGAACTTATCGACATTATTGACATAGATAATATCTTGGCCAAACTATCAGATCTTTTCTAAAAGGCATAACTATACGAGTAAAGGATCAAAGTAGATGGGATTCAAAACCTAGTAATTTTAGCTGTAAGATAATCATGAAAATCACCCTATCAAATTCTTCTATTCTCAAACCTGTTCTGATCATCGAGAATATGAACCTAGGGCTTGGGCTTTGTCTTGTGTCTCGAGATTGCCGGAATATATGTGAGATAACAGGATACAAAACGCTAGCAGCCCAACGGCCAAGAGTTTGAAACGTACAAGACCAAAAAACAAAAAAAAAAAATCGTATTGGACTATCTGTGTTTCAAGTATAATATGGAAACATAAAATACTTCAACATCTTGTAATTGATGCATTCAGTGAAAGCAATGCTACATAAACTTAAAAATTAGACTTGATAATTATAATCATTGATTTTATTGTGGGTCCCAATATTTATTGGGACTCATTACTTATTAAATGATTGAGATTATAATGTCTAGTTTTTAAATTCATCAAGTATTACTCAATTTATTAAGACCATAAACTTGAAATAAGTTAACATAGCCGTTACAACAAGGACAAAACTAACATTAGAGTATTAACCAAGGGTATAATGGATAATCAAAAGTTTTTCTAATATCTTGACAATTTAAAGAAGTATATATATATATATTGGGCCGACTACCATTGGGCTAAGTTGTATAGGACATTAAAAGATAGTCCAGTCCACTCCAGCTCAGCCCAAACCCAACTCAGCTCAGACAGTTCGTTATTAGGGTTTGGGAAAACCTATCAGCTCGTGCTCATACTTCTAGACCGACACCGTCTCTCTCTCTCTCTCTCTCTCTCTCCAGCATCGAAGATCAGTGCTGGTTAGCATAGTGTCGGAATAGATTCAAAATGGTACACTCTCTGTACCCAATTGTTTGATTATATTTCGGTTCATTGTCATTGAGCGGTTTAAAAAAATGCAATCTCTACACTTGTATATGGTTCATAGAATTTTTTTAGATCCTGGTTTGAAAATACATGAACCAGTATTTTCTGAGAGATATATTGTAGTTTGTTATCTAGATGTTGCACAGCAGAGTGTGCATATCTGCTTCTGTTTTATAATGATTCTGATTAGTGGAATCTACGATAATCTATCCTAAAAATAAAAAAGTGTTTTGTATGACTATTGTTCCAATCTGTATCTAATCATCCTCTTGACGCTTGATTCACTTATGTTATCAATTGATTGAAACTAAAAACTTGGAAAAAACGTAGAGGTGGTTTATAACTGTAGTTGTGGTCTCTTACTAGTGGAATTATGTATTTTGGTTATTGTTATTTTAAAGAAGGCTCTACATGGTTTGGAACAGGAACCAAGGATCAATATTTTCAAGAAAATAATTTTAGCAAATGTACTTGTGGGCAGGCACTTTACATTGGGGTATAGAATGGAAATATTTTGCTTGTATGCTTGTGTTTAGATGATTTAGTATTCACACACAACAATCCAAGAATATTTGAGGATTTCACTTTATTAGAGAATGGCTAGCTTAAAAGGATTCAATTTTAATTTGAAAGGCCACTTGATGAAAATGAGGATATTCTCAATAAGCCTTTCAAGTATGAAGCCCTTATGAGCTACGGAGTCTGTATGTGTAAGTGTAAGGTAATATAGCTCACCATGTATCTGAATGCTTCTGAACTTTTGCTCGTGATTCATAACAGGCTAGAGGGTTGAAGAAGCATTTGAAGAGGCTTAATGCCCCCAAGCATTGGATGCTGGACAAACTTGGAGGAGCATTTGTAAGCCTTCATACTTGGTCAGAGTTTATCACAATGCCTGATTAATTAGTGGGTTCATCAAAAGTTGCTTCTTTGTGTAGGCTCCCAAGCCATCATCTGGACCTCACAAATCTAGGGAGTGTTTGCCATTGATTCTCATCTTGAGAAACAGGTTGAAATATGCTCTCACTTACCGTGAGGTCATTGCCATTTTGATGCAACGGCATGTTCTAGTTGATGGAAAGGTCAGGACTGATAAAACATACCCTTCAGGATTCATGGGTATGTGAATCTTTATTGCTTTGGTTTTATATTTTTTTCTTTAATCTTCATTATAGTTGGGCATAATTAACCTGTCCTTTATTTGTAGCCACCAATGTGAAATGTATTTGTAAGTTCTTTGTTGGACACCTTCTTTCTAGGGTTTTGCCAGTGAGATGATCTTGACTGTTAGTATCATTATGATGACACTGTATAGAATAGTGCAACTATCACAGAGAAGTTGTGTGGTAAAAGGATGGTGGTTAACCTGCTGATTCATTATTCATATACTTCAAAATCTTTATCGGTGTGCTTGAGTTTGAACACTTAGCTCAATTTTTATGTGGCATTGTTTGCAAGGAAAGCTTACTTATTCTTGTTATTGACAAGATTTCATGCAGTTGATTCTTAATATTTGATTCCTTTGCCAGAAATGTAATGTTTTGCGTATGTTATACAATCCTTGACAGATGTTGTCTCCATTCCCAAAACAAATGAGAACTTCCGTCTCCTTTATGATACCAAAGGTCGGTTCCGTCTCCACTCAATAAGGGATGAAGAGGCTAAGGTCAGTCTGTTCTGTCTTCTCAGGTCTTAAAATCCTTTTTTGCTACAGAGAAAATTATCTTTCCATTGAGTGAATCTAACCTTTTTTTATCATGGATGCTCTGAAACTTATAAAAGTGCTTTAAAAGTTTCATTGCCATGCTTCATTTTTAGCATATCTACAAGGTCAATTTGATACAATGGTTGAAAGTACAACCATCTGCTTTTTTTATAATTGTAATTCTTAGTGGCCATTAAGCCAATGATTTTTTAGTCACAAAAATAAGCTGCTTAATACTTCTGCACTTTTTCTTGGAGTGAATTGGCAGTTATAATGAGTGGCAACTATTATGTTGACCATGGTTGGGTATAATAAAGATGTATTTTATAAAATTTCTTGTCAAATGTATTATGTTCGCAAAGATTGCAAGCACAATGGAATGAACTTTCTAAAGGCTATGGTTTTTGGTACTCACACTTAACAAATATTTACTTTTTTTTTTTTGGGCGCTAAATATTGACCTTTTTTGGTTCTGGCACATTACTGGTGTCATAAGGTGTTTCTTATCTCTTCAGTGATTTCTCTGCAGTTTAAGCTCTGCAAAGTTCGATCTGTGCGGTTTGGGCAGAAAGGTATCCCATACCTAAACACTTATGATGGGCGGACCATCCGCTACCCTGACCCACTTATCAAGGCCAATGACACCATCAAGCTTGACCTCGAGAGCAACAGGATCACCGACTTCATCAAATTCGATGTGGGGAACGTGGTCATGGTGACCGGAGGGAGGAACAGGGGACGTGTTGGAGTCATAAAGAACAGGGAGAAGCACAAGGGTACCTTTGAGACTATCCACGTCCAGGATGCTACTGGGCATGAATTTGCAACTCGTTTGGGCAATGTGTACACCATTGGCAAGGGAACAAAACCATGGGTATCACTTCCTAAGGGCAAGGGTATCAAGCTGTCTATTATTGAAGAGGCTAAGAAGAGGCTTGCAGCTCAAGCAGGAGCTACTGCCTAAAATCTGGTAATAACATCATGCGATGTTAAGGAGTTGGAGTAGGCACTTTATGATTTTGTAACTGTTGTGCTCAAAATTCTGGATTCTGTTGTGGTTTTATCAGATGCTGACTTCCCCCCTTCTCTCTTTCTCTCTTCTTTTCTCTGGTTATGTTGAGCTGAAATACTTTGCTTGGTTCACTTCTTTTTTTGTTCTAGCAATAATGGTGTTTTTTCAGCACTGCTAGTGTGTTCTTTCTGAATGTATGGTGGTAGTTGCAGCATCTGCAACCCATATATTAACCTTCGAATGTTTGGCCATCGAAGGTGTAGGCTATGTGGAAAGAGCACCCAGTGGGCAAATTTGAACCAGTCATTCAACATTGTAGTTTCACAAGGGGAATGCCTCCAAGCATGTGGTCGTTGCTTCCAGATAAGCAAATTCAACCACCATAAGGGTTTGCTATCCGGTCTTGACTGAGTCATAAATCTGAGAATATGAGTGTGCTATCAGAGGCACATACTGAACAATCAGCTCTACAAGAATGCACAACCCTTGTGATCAGCTGGGACTTAGACAAGGGTTTTTTTTTTTGTTTCAGAGAACAAACTGTTCGTCATCTTTAGTTTCTAAGCCTGGCGATGATACGCTCATAGAAGACCTCATTTGAGAGAGGTCGGAGTAGTTGAAAACTTACGATGAGATAACTGTGCGACCAGTTTAAACATCATTTCAACAGATCCGAAGTCACCGTCTCCTCTGCTATGGCCATGCAAACTTGTTGATTGGCATGACTCATGAAGTTGAGCTAAATTAGTTTTATTTGTTGCTATTATTTTGGATTATGACTATTTCTTCATGCTATTTTTTAGGCACTTGGCAGATTTTTTATTTATCTTGTAGCAGATTTTTCTACGATTTGATTTTTTTTATGTTGTTTAAATAGAAAGCTTGTTAGCTCAATAAAATTAGTCTTTCTGCAGTCTCTAAATTAGATTCTCTCATTATCCTTGGTCTTTAATTTTCTAAATATCCAACAGATTGGTATCAGAGCTATAATCTTGAGTGACCTGTGAGATTGAGAGAGCTCAAACACAAACACGAAAACCTACAACCTATTCAGAATGAATTCAGAAAGCTCATTCACTGCGATTGCACCTCCAGTGTTTGATGGAACAAATTATCAGGTGTGGGCTGTTAGAATGGAAGCCTATCTTGATGCTAATGATCTATGGGAAGCTGTTGAACAAGTATATCAAGTTCCACCCTTGCTAGATAATCCAACTCTTGCACAAATCAATTTTCAAAAGGAGAGGAAGCAAAGAAAATCAAAAGCAAGAGCTACCTTGTTTGCAGCAGTCTCATCCACCATTTTTACCAGAATAATGACACTGAAAACAACCAAGAAAATTTGGGATTTTTTGAAATAAGAATACGAAGGAAATGAAAGAGTTAAAGGGATGCAAGTTCTGAATTTGATCCGAGAATTTGAGATGACAAGGATGAAAGAATCAAAAACAATCAAGGAATATTCCGACAGACTTTTTGGCATTGTCAATAAAGTAAGACTTCTTGGTACTGATTTTCCTGATTCTAGAATTGTTCAAAAGATCATAGTCACAATTCTTGAAAAGTTTTAGACTACAATTTCATCTTTGGAAAACTCAAAAGATGTGTCAAGCATTACCTTGCCAGAATTGTTGAACGCACCGTAGGCACAAGAACAAAGGAGGCTTATGAGGCAAGAAGGATCTATGGAGGGCACTTTTCAAGCCAAATCACAAAACAACAATGGTGACAAAAACAAAAAACAGAACAAAAGCAATAAGCCTGGAGGTTATGCAAGGAACAACAACAATAGCCAAAGCAGAAACACTCAAGTCTTTCCACCTTGCCCCTACTCTAAAAAAATCAATCATCCACAACATAAGTGTTGGTGGAGGCCAGATACAAGATGTCACAAGTGTGGTCAATTAGGGCACATGGAAAGAATATTCAAGACTCAACAGCAACAAGGAGAAGCCAAGGCTGCTGAGGATCAACCTCAAGAGGAGCAATTGTTTGTGGTATCATGCTTTGCCACTAACAGCTCCACAGAAAGTTGGCTTATAGATAGTGGTTGTACAAACCACATGACTTATGATCGAGAACTCTTCAAAGAGCTTGACAAGACTGTTATTTCTAAAGTCAGAATTGGAAATGGAGTGCACATTTCAGTAAAAGGCGAAGGAACAGTAGCAATTGAAAGCCACACAGAAGTTAATTTCTGACGTTTTATATGTTCCTGAAATGAATCAAAACCTTTTGAGTGTTACTCAGTTGTTGGGAAAAGGCTATAAGGTGTTGTTTGAAGATAAAAACTGTGTGATTAAAGATTCAAAAGGCATAGAGGTGTTCAAAGTTCAAATGAAAGGCAAAAACTTTGCCATGGATTTGATGAGAGAGGAGTAGGCTGCTGTACACAAAAAGATAGAAATATGGTGATTTGGCACAAGAGATTGGGGCATTTCCATCACGTCGTTCTACTTTTCATGAAGAAGAATGATCTGGTAAAAGACTTGCCTGAATTAGAGGAGGAGCCTCCTAAATGTGCTACCTATCAATATGGGAAGCAAACCCGAATTCCTTTTCAATGAAACAAGGCTTGGAGGGCAACACAGAGGCTGCAATTAATACACACAGATCTGGGAGGACCAATGAAAACACCATCATTGAATGGTAGTAAGTATTATATTGCTTTCATTGATGATTACTCAAGAATGTGTTGGATTTATTTTATGAAGCTTAAATTTGAGGTTGCTGATATCTTTGGGAAGTTTAAAGCTTGGGTTGAAACTCAAGGCAGATACAAAATGCAGGTGATTAGGTCTAATAATGGAACTGAGTATACCTCTGAGAAATTTAACAAGTTTTGCAAAGATGCAGGCATCGAACATCAATTGACAGCACCTTACAATCCTCAACATAATGGTGTTGTGGAGAGGAAAAATCGGACAATTATGGAGATCACAAGGTGCTTGCTTCATGATAAAAGGACTGCCAAAGAAATTTTGGGCCAAGGCTGTAAATATAACAATTTTTCTGCTAAACAAATTGCCAACAAAAACTTTGCAGGAAAAAACTCCATTTGAGGCATGGCACGACTACAAACCCAAGTTGCTTAATTTGAAGGTATTTGGTTGTCTATGTTTCTCTTACATTCCTCAAGTTAAGAGAGACAAATTGGACAAAAAAAACAAAATCTGAAATTTTTGTAGGCTATAGCTCAATTTCAAAGGCCTATAGGATCTACCTACCACAAAGCAATAGAGTAATTGTCAGTAAGGATGTTCAGTTCTTTGAGTTAGATAACTGAAGTTGGGAGAATGATAACAAACTTGAGGTTCAAGAGGAGAATGATGATATTGATGATGAACCTGTTAGAGAAACCAGATCACTCTCGGACATTTATCAGAGGTGTAATGTTGTTGTAATGGAGCCCGCAAGGTATGAAGAAGCTATAACTGATCAAAAGTGGATAACTGCAATGAAGAAGGAGCTAAAGATGATTGAAAAAAACTAGACATGGGAGTTGGTGGATAGACCTAAACACAAGAAAAATATAGGAGTCAAGTGGATTTATAGGACCAAGCTCAATCCTGATGGTTCTGTAAACAAATACAAGGCAAAACTTGTTGTCAAATGTTTAGCGTAGATTTTTTTGAAACTTTTGCTCCAGTTGCCAGGTTGGATACCAAGGATGTTGTTGGCTCTTGCTGCACAAAAAGATTGGGTTATACACCAAATGGATGTCAAGTCAGCCTTTTTGAATGGATACTTGGAGGAATAAATTTTTGTGGAGCAACCTGAAGGGTTTATTTTTCAAGGACAAGAGGAGAAGGAATATTGCTTGAAAAAAGCCCTGTATAGCTTATAACAGACACCAAGGTCCTAGTATAGCAGAATTGATGCACGCTTAGTGAACTTAGACTTTGAAAAAAGTCTGAGTGAATTTACTTATCTGTCAAGAAGGTTGATGATGAATTACTTATGGTATCACTATATGTTGATGATCTACTCGTTACAGGAAGTAGCAAGGAGTTGATTGACAAGTTTAAAGAAGAAATGAAAGATGTCTTTGAAATGACAGACCTTGGGAGGATGACTTTCTTCCTTGGTATGCAGGTACATCAAAAGCAGAATGAAATATTTTTGTGCCAGCAAAAATATGCAAAGGAAGTCCTCAAGAAATTTAACATGGAAGAATGCAAGCCAACTGCAACTCCAATGAATCAAAAGGAGAAGTTTTGTAGAGAATATGGGGTTGGAAAAGTGGATGAAAGGTTGTACAGGAGTCTAATAGGTTGTCTAATGTATTTAACTGCAACCAGGACAGATATCATGCATGCAGTAAGTTTGCTATCAAGGTATGCACTGTACTAGTGAAATTCATTTTCAAGGAGCAAAAAGAATTTTTAGATATGCCAAGGGCACAGTTGATTATGGAATAAAGTTCAGTCAAGTTAAAAACTTCAGTCTCCATGGTTATTCTGATAGTGATTGGGCTGGCTGTGTTGATGATATGAGAAACACCTCAAGTTACTGTTTTAGCTTTGGTTCTGGAATTTTCTCATTGTGTTCTAAGAAGCAAGAAGTCATAGCTCAATCCACAGCAAAAACAGAGTATCTAGCTGTTGTTGTTGCTGTAAATCAAGCCCTTTGGATCAGGAAACTAATAGCAGATCTGCATATGGAACAACAAGAAAGCACAAATATTTGTGGACAACCAAGCTGCAATTTCCATTGCTAATATTCCAGTGTTTCAAGGAAAACAAAATACTTCAAGATAAAGTTCTATCTTCTAAGAGAGGTACAAAGGGAAGGAGAAGTGCAGCTGATCTACTGCAAAACAGAGAATCAAAGTGCTGACATCCTAACAAAGGCACTTCCAAATAATAGATATGAATTCTTGAGGCAGAAGCTTAGTGTATGCAGCTCCAGAGTCAAGGAGAAGTGTTGATTGACATGACTCATGAAACTGAGCTAAATTAATTTTATTTGTTGCTATTCTTTTGGATGTCTTTATGCTATTTTTTAGGCACTTAGTAGATTTTATACTTATCTTGCAGCAGATTTTTCTACGATTTGGTTTTCTTTATGTTTTTTAAAAAGGAAGCTTGTTGTTCAATAAAATTAGTCTTCTAAATCAGATTATCTTATTATCCTTAGCCTTTAATTTCCTAAATATTCAACAAAACGCTGACGGATGTGTGTGTGGAGAGAGAGAGAGAGTAAAATTATAATCGAGAGGGAAGGTTACGAGTTTGATCCAATGAAGACAGTGGGTAAAGGGACGAATTTCCATAGAAATAGGCGGTGCTGGCGGTACCATTGAACCATGGCTGTCACGGGCTTGGAAGTGGGGTTTGCACACCAGTGAACAGAGTAAATACACATTCGGATTGCTCATGATAAAGAGGGAAGGTTATGAGTTTGATCCAATGAAGACAGTGGGTAAAGGGACAATTTTCCATAGAAATAGGCGGTGCTGGCGGTACCATTGAACCATGGCTGTCACGGGCTTGGAAGTGGGGTTTGCACACCAGTGAACAGAGTAAATACACATTCGGATTGCTCATGATAAAGAGGGAAGGTTATGAGTTTGATCCAATGAAGACAGTGGATAAAGGGACAATTTTCCATAGAAATAGGCGGTGCTGGCGGTACCATTGAACCATGGCTGTCACGGGCTTGGAAGTGGGGTTTGCACACCAGTGAACAGAGTAAATACACATTCGGATTGCTCATGATAAAGAGGGAAGGTTATGAGTTTGATCCAATGAAGACAGTGGATAAAGGGACAATTTTCCATAGAAATAGGCGGTGCTGGTGGTACCATTGAATCATGGCTGTCACGGGCTTGGAAGTGGGGTTTGCACACCAGTGAACAGAGTAAATACACATTCGGATTGCTCATGATAGAGCGGGAAGGTTATGAGTTTGATCCAATGAAGACAGTGGGTGAAGGGACGAATTTCCATAGAAATAGGCGGTGCTGGCGATACCAATTGAATCATGGCTGTCACGGGCTTGGAAGTGGGGTTTGCACACCAGTGAACAGAGTAAATACACATTCGGATTGCTCATGATAGAGCGGGAAGGTTATGAGTTTGATCCAATGAAGACAGTGGGTGAAGGGACGAATTTCCATAGAAATAGGCGGTGCTGGCGATACCAATTGAATCATGGCTGTCACGGGCTTGGAAGTGGGGTTTGCACACCAGTGAACAGAGTAAATACACATTCGGATTGCTCATGATAGAGCGGGAAGGTTATGAGTTTGATCCAATGAAGACAGTGGGTGAAGGGACGAATTTCCATAGAAATAGGCGGTGCTGGCGATACCAATTGAATCATGGCTGTCACGGGCTTGGAAGTGGGGTTTGCACACCAGTGAACAGAGTAAATACACATTCGGATTGCTCATGATAGACTCCGAAGTTTCAACATTAATGTCCCAACACATTCTCGATCACAGAAACTCAGAGAACCAAAGATCTACATGTAAAATCAGAAGGGTATTTCCCTAATTCTATTCCGGGTTCGCTGCCCTGCTCAAGGTATCAGGAAACAATATGGGTCGTAAGAACCCAAAGTTCACAACCCTTGGAATCTTTGATGCATTGTGGGGTGAATGCAAACTATCACTCCATTGCTTTCAACCAATGAGTGATACAAAAGAGGCAGATTTAAGACGTAATTACAATGTGACAGCTCTCTATCCTTAGCCCATTGAAGAACAAGCAGAATAAAGCAGATGAAATTTGTTCCATTTCTAAGGTAACAGACTTTCACAGCATCATTGTTTGAAATCCATCGCATCATAACTGGATTTAATACAGATGTCTAATACTAGTCCCGAATGTACTTTGCTTCCACCATCGACACAATTTTTTGTAGCTAACTACACCCGAAATCTCAAAGCAAAAACCTAAAACCATAAAAATCCCGCATAGAACATCCTACAAAATGATAAAAAGAAGTAAACAAGGGAAGCTACACCGTATGGCGCCAAACAAAAGGGTAACTTCATTATGCTGCAGCTTCCACTTCCTCATGGAGGAGCTTCTGATCAAAGTGCCAGACTCCTGAGATTATATGAAAACAACTACATTCAGAACTGGAAAATGCATATAAAAAAATCCTTATATCAACAGTTACAACTTTTACGAGTTAATGGGATAGAAAGGGGTAAAAAGACTAAGAAATCTAGATTCCCACCATGTCCTTTGCCCACTCTTCTCAGCTGAGCAACATACTCGGAGATCTTCTTAATGGCATCCACCTAAAAAAAAAAAAGCAAACAATCAAGTTCAAAAATCAGTGCCAAACAGCATGGATTCAAGAGGACACTTCTGTGGTCATGAATATGTTCTCTAACCTGCTCTGTCAAATACTCGCTTTCAACAAAATCAGCTAACTGCGCATCATTGTTTCGGCAGGCTACCTGTTGTTGTAGAGTTAATGCATGTGTTAGAAATCTAGTAACTGACCCAAAAACTGACATCTAAGTTTTTAAGCATGGCTTAAAAGAATTTAGTGTTTAGTCTTGAGAATTACGGACACCTACTTCATTTGACCTACATTACAAATTAGATATCTAAACTTACATAATTACAATGGGAACTAAAACACGAAATCCAGCTAAGGAAAGAGGACGGAATGTAAGTATATCTTACAGAGTGCAAGTTTAGAAGTTTTTCATTGGTCAGCTTCTCCAGAGATAATGCAAGTTCCATTGCTGAATTAAGAAAATACACACAATTAGCCAAACTATATAATGCTTTAGAATAAGAGCACAAATGTGGAACACAAGCACAAGTTGACATGCGATATGAAGAATGCAAGTATAGAAACTGCATAATTTGGCACTTTGTAAGAACCGATAAACCAGAAAGTTATAACTATGTTACATTAAACACTGATTATCCAGTATCAACAACTGAGACATTTATGACTCAAAATAAAAAATCTATATACTAGCCTCCAAGTGATTCCTATGTGCGTACACATTTATTGATTTCTATACTACACAGATTATGTGTGCAAAATAAGTTGTTGTGCGAGAATTTTCATACCATTTTTTCATGCAACATGGCTAGATAAGAGTACAAGAACAATACTCTCATGACAGAAAACATCCCAACTTTGACCATCTTGAAATTATAAGGCGCATATTTCCCTAAGTGCCTACATGAGTTGCAACATACATGCGATTTACATAATTAGAACAGATCAAAACAGATGTTAGACTCACCATGCAAAGCATCACCCTTCTCAGCATGATCGAACTCAGACAGCGGCATCAGAATGGACTGCAGCTTCACTTTGCCACCCCTTTTGTTCTGAAAGTTCCAAGAGCAAGGATTATTAATGATTCAAATCCAACATGGAACATAGAACTTCAAATTTTGACAAATGAATAAATCAGCAAAGTTGTCATAATATATGTGCAAATTATCAAACACCTGATACTCCATCAATTTCTCAGCATGGTCTCTTTCCTCTTCACTAGACTCCTTGAAAAACCTGTGAGTGATAAACCACAACTCAGATTAGTCTAATATAAACAAGGCACGGAATAAGATAAACACGAAATTCGAGGGGGGTTTTGATGATTACTTGGCAAGACCCTTGAGAGCAACGTTGTCCCTATCAAAGTAGGCAAACATAGCATGGTACACATACGAAACATTGTACTCCACACTGCAATTAAAACAAACAAACAAACATAATAAATCCTTAGAAAGAAAGGTAAAACTGATCGAAACCCATTGAAACAGAATCCTTAGAATTTAACTTAAGTCCAAACATCATACCAAACAATCGTTTTAGGCTAAAAAAAAATCCCTAGAAATTTTATACAAGAAGAACACATTAAAGATGTAAAATTTAGACTGTGTACTTGTCAAAATGAGGAAAACCAATAATAAATGTACATTGGTATGTTTTATGAGGAAAATGTATCAATGATTAGAAGTGTTGAAAACAAAACATATTGTCTTATACATACAAAATGTATAACATAGAAAATGAAAACTGAACCCACTTGATCTGTTCATTGATTGCAGCTTCAGACTCATCAGCATACTTCTGGCGTGCAAGAGAAGAGTGAGGAACGGTGGGTACAAGCATGAGCTCCTTCTTCAGCTCTTCAAACGGCTCAAACACGACACCAGTAAGCGGCCGACTATTAGAACTTGAACCCTTCGTCGCACAAACCACAAACCCATTTCCAGTTTTCCCTGGAAAAGCCCTCAGAACAGAGTTCAACGACGATGCAGAAGACGAAAGAGAGGAAAACAGGGGATTTAGGTTTAACCCATGAGTGTCCAAGATAGAGAATGCTGGTGCAGCTCTCAGAAGCATGATTATAACAAGAAACAGGGAGAAAAATAAAGAGAGATTAAAGAGAAAAACAGAGTTTTAGAGAGAAGAAAAAGAGACGGGGAAGAAAACAGAGGAAGCGAGAGAGATGGCGGAGATGACTGGTGAGAGATGGAGAGACATACAGATATTAGTGGTCATATATAATAACAATAATAATTCGAATGCGCAAGTGGAAAGGGACGTGGATCGTTTGATTGAAGAACACGTGGAGGGTTAGGATTGAGGGATGGGTTGGAGAGCGTGGCTGGCTCGTGGCATTATCTGTTTGGCTTGCGGAATCCCGAGGGAAAATCTTTTCCGAATAGGGTGAACAATTGGGATAAAGTTAGAAAGGCAGGTGTTNAGGGATGGGTTGGAGAGCGTGGCTGGCTCGTGGCATTATCTGTTTGGCTTGCGGAATCCCGAGGGAAAATCTTTTCCGAAAAGGGTGAACAATTGGGATAAAGTTAGAAAGGAAATGGTGTCACCAAAAATTAAGGGGTTTTTTTTGTTTTTTTCATTTTTATTAACTATCAAGATATTCGAGTCAATTTAATGATATGTATCTAAATTAATACTTTTTAAATTTAGCCAAAAATATATTATTCAAATTGGGATTAAAATATTCAAAAAAATTAAATATCTCATTACCTAACTCAAAAAATTAATAAAATTTAAATTTAAAACATATAAATTTACAATTCGATTATGCTATTACTTAGCTTGTAGTTGTGGGTGTGCAGTTGTTCATTCAGGAATTAACAGAAAACCTGATAAGATTAGAATTTGTTATTTGGCTGAGGGTAATTAAGGTATTTGACACTGGTGTGAACGCTATAAAGATGCTCCATTAGTGGCCATGAAAACTAAATGTGGTTATTGCTTCACTGAAGTTGACAAATTTCTAAAGACGAAACAAAAAAAAAAAACACAATTTCCTTGTACACATATTTCCTAATTTTTGAAAAACAAAAGCCAACGTATATAAGTTGTTTTAGACCATCGAGTGAGATAATTCAGTAAAATATCGATCGAATTTTTTATTTTGAGATTAAATATTTGAATTTTTAAGTTTATATTAGAACTCGATAGTTGGTCATTAGGCTAGTCTAATTAGATTTGTTCCTAAGAGATATACTGGACACGGTCAGGGTCATATGATCTTACTAATAAAAATTTATCGGGATGGTCTTTGTTTTTGAGTGTTCTCTTTTATCCCCACCTTTTTTTTTAATAGTGAAAAAAAAAATATGTATAGATTATTTCAGTGATCAAACAATAGACAAATAATGAATTCGTAGTAGTTGAATAAAATGAAAGCGTGAGTGCAGGATAAGAATGATTATTTGTATTCGTAAGTTATATTATAGTTATAAGTTAAAAAATATACGAAATATATAATTTACTTCTTTAAATCAACGAGGCAAGCAAGGTCTAGTTGTAAGGAATCTCGACAACCCCTGCCTCCTCTTATGCCCGTCCTCATCCTCAAGGTCATCAACCAATGGGCACCACAAAGTGGTCTTTCTTCAAAAGTGAGTCAAGTAAATGAGTAACAGTTTGAATAATTACAATGTATAAGTCGTTTTTTCAAATGATTATGGGATGAAAGAGTGCTTTTAGCACGTTTTTGGTTTTGGGGATTAGCAAAAAAAAAAAAGAATTTTTTCCAATCCACTGAGCTCCGTGCCAATTTGGAGTCTTGACTGTCGACATGATTTTTTTAACCTAAGTCCTACTCTAGTGTTTAATGCTATTGATGAGACTTTTCTGAAAATACTCCATGATGAAGACACGTGTTTTCGGTATTATCAAAACACTGTTGATAAGATCAAGCACCATCGGCGCACAAAGGTCCTCGCCCCCGAGGTACTCGTCATATAGGATCAAGCATTCAGTATGTTTACAACCGACACGTGGCCTCGGTCTAATATGGTACCTCGGTCGGCATACCTCCCTCGGCTCCGAGATGAGCCTTTCCTCGGTGCCGAGAGGTACCCCGTCCTGGACGCTTCCTCTACTCCAGGATAAGCTATTGACGTACAGGTCATTTAGCCTAGGCTAGTCTAGGCTATTCATCATGACCTCGTCTTACACAATTAGTGTCAGAACGTACTGGAATGCAGGGGTCACAGCCAATAAGGGATAGACGCGTGGCATATGATATCACATCGAAGACAGAGAAACCGCATGCCGTTGCTGACACGCGACTTGGGAAAGCAAACTATTAATTACACCATTCCTTTGATGAGACCGCATTCAATGCGGTAAGGCTCGGAAATGAAAGGCAATAAATGCTCCTAATACAGAGCATTTATTGCATCCTCCCCGAGAGGAGTA